ATTAAAGAGATTTCTAAATTCACATTACTTGAAAACAGTATCAGTTCAGGCAAGGCTTTATCATTTTTATTACATTTTTTTGAATGTAGAGATTATTGAACGTTTTAGCCTCATTGGCAGCAGTGGTGTTCATCCAGGCGGACACCACAAGCATCTTCATCAGCATTTTGGATCCAGGTATGCCTGTGCTCGCTGCTATTTGTGTCCATTTTCCCACCAGCTGAAACAGATGGTGTATAATATGCAGGGGATAAAAAAAAGTATTGAAAACATCACCAGATTTCTCAGTACATACATTTCTAAAGGTGCTATTGACATAAAATTCTCACCAAATGTCAGTAACAATCCAGCCAGTCCACACATGCAAAGAAATCAAACTATAGATGTTATGTGTAATAATGATAAATGAAAGAAGGAAAAAGTATTGAACACGCTTACTGAAATTGTATTTAATACTTCATGCAAAAGCTTTTGTTGGTAATGACAACTTCATCGCTCAGGTGTGATTTTGGTTCATTCTTCTACACAAATGGTCTTCAAATTCTGAACGTTCTGTGAGCCCTGCTATGAACTCTAAACTCTATTATATCTATAGATTTTCAATTAAATTCAGGACAGGTGATTGGCTGTCATTCTAGCAGCTTCTTTGGCTTTGTGTTTGGGATCATCGTCTTGCTGAAAGGTCCGTCCTCATTTCATCTTCAACATCCTGGTAGATGCTAGCAGAACATTTTTCTATTCATCTTCCTCCATTTATATGAAACATTCCAGTGCCACATGACGAAAAACAGCCCCATACTTTGATGTTCCCAACTCCAAACTTCACTTTTGGTATAGTGTTTGGTATAGTGTTTGGTGATATGCAGTGCCTTTTGACCTCCAGACATGGCATGTAATATAGCATCAGTTCAGTTTTGGTCTCTTGTGACGGACCGAGCAGTGAAGGAAACTTAGCCACAGGTTAAAGTCCAAAAAAATGACTTTTTATTTAACCCAAAAAACATAATTGGTTAACTCATGCAAAAAGAATCAAAATCTTGGGCCCATAAAAGAGGTCAAAATAACAAAACTCTACTCAAAGTTGACAACACAACTGATAACTCACACAAACTGACCTAACTTAATGAGACAAAGGGGAAACTTAAATAGTGGCTGATCAGCCCACAAAAACAGGAGAAGGGGTAAAACACACAAAACCTAACTAAACCAAACATAATGAACTTCATTTCCCCCCCATGGTCCTGAGTTATGGCATGAACCAATTTGTAGTCTTCCTTTAAAGCTCGCTCCGCCCCTTTTCCACCTCTTGGCTCCTTAATCAAGGGACTGGAACAGCTGCAACTAAGGTAACTCAGAAAACAAAAAAATTCATCATACATAACAGTGTAAACTAAAATGTGCGCACTTATTTTAGAATGCAGTGTTATGTGGATATGTGAATTAACTCTAAACCAAAACCAGTTATTTATTGTCCTGTAAATGAATTCCTATATTTAAAGAAAGAAATGTGAATGCAATGTTACTTATAAGCCTCTACACTAACATGGTGGGTATTACCACTGTGTAGCTCTAAGTGCAGCCATCACATCTCTACTGACCAGAGTATATTCTGCCAGTATTTCTTGTCTAAATGTTGTTCAGCAAACTTTAAACGTGCTTTAGCATGCTTTTTCTTCAGCAATGGAGTCTTGTATGGTGAGCGTGCATACAGGCCACAGCAGTTGAGCTGATTCCAAGTCTTTTTGTAGCTCTTCGCAAGGGCTCCTTTGCTTTTGACAACTCTTCTGATAATTCTTTTCACTCCCCTGTCTGAAAACTGGTGGGGAGCAGCTGGTCCTGGCCGGTTTATGGTGAAATTATGTTCTCTCCTGCCCCAACAGTGCTCACTGGAACCTTCAGATCCAACATAACCGTTCTGGTTATGTTGGATCTGAATAGTACTAGGTTTAAAACACATGGGGATCGGGCTTTTGAGGCACTGGCACAGAGGCTGTGGAAGTCCCTGCTGTTGTCTTTACGCTCTCTAGACTCCACTGACTCCTTTAAAAAGCAGCTGAAGACATTTTTATACAAACGAGCTCTTAATTAAAATTTTCACTGTTTCACTATATAAATTAAAATTTATTTACTTGCTACTTACTAGTTTAGTAATTCTGATGGATTGG